GGTTAGCATGAAAAGAAAAATGATAGAAAAAATAATTTTCTTTCATACTTGAATTTTCTCACAAAGAACAAACTTTTTTTGCTTGTAAAAAACACAAGGAAATGAAAGAAAGTTGTGATCTATAACTAACTTCTTATTTTACCCTTATTTTTCTTAACATATTTTATTAATTTTTAATTTAAAAAAATTTTAGTACGAATTTGATTAATCATATAATTTGGTCCAAAAACTTTTGTATTGGTGATTATCTTAAAATTAAGTTTCAATCTATTTTTTAAAAAAATTTTAACTTTCAATTATAATTATATAATTTTTTTTCTTTTTTAGACCGATTTAATATAATTAAGGGTAATTTAAACAATTAAAAAAATTTATTATAACTTTTCTTTCTTTCAAAAAATAGAAAGAAATTTTTTTAAAATTTTATGGTAAATTTTTTATTTTAACCAAATACATATATAATAATATTTTTTTTACCATTTTCTTTTCTTTTACTTTACTTTCTATCATTTTTTTCTTCCTAACCAAACGGACCTTAAGGAATCAAACTAGCTAGAGATTTTTTTTTTTTTTTTTTTCAGATTTTGGTAAGAAATTTAATTGAAATATGAGACCTTTTATTTTTTTGTTTTCAATTGGTAAGCAATTTAATTTGAAATATGATACTTTTACCCTAACTTTTGGGGATTTTATGGTTTTAATTAGTAATTTAAGGATCAAATGGATTAAATAAAAATTTATGTCATCGAGCCGAATAAATAATAAATGTAACAAAGATTCTCTTGTCACTGTTACGTGATATTATGCATGCACAGTCTAATAAAAGACTAATAAATAGACTAGTAAACCCAACTTTTTTCACATAAGGCGATTATTATTTTACACAAATTAGATAATTATAAAATTGAATAAGATTCACTTAAATAATAATATTACATGACGGTAATGATGTGATATCTCCCTTAGATTGATTATTTTTTGAGTAAAACCACCATTTGCAAGAAAAATGATTAACTTTGAGAAAAACATGTATAATTACCATTGCAAAAAAGTTTAAAATACACAAGAAGAAAATATTAGGCCGTTTAAGATTAAATTAAGGGCCCCACCAAATTAATAAAAATAAGATCAATTAACTTAAAAATAAAAAGCTTATATTGCGTCTTTAGGAAATGTACGTAAAAGTCAAAATGATCACGTGGTTAATGTTAGAAAAATAAATAAAGGTTTGGTGAGGACTTGGGTCAAACGTTAATGAATATAAGGATTGACTTGTGAAATTTCTTTTTATATTGGATTACTTTCTTTCGTTGGTGGCTCTAAGAAAATCTTCCCATGGGGTTATTTCAAAACTTAAATAGGACAAAATATTTAAAACAATTTTAACTTTTGTTACTATCTATCACCTATTTTTGGGTTAATAGCACATTTGATTCCATTATAAGAAAAAAGGATTTTTACGACGGTAAAGTGCTGTCATAAAATATTTATTTGTTGTTCCAAATATTTTTTGTGGCGGTGTTGTGGCGGCATTCCCTTGCCATAATAAGTGGTCTCAAAAAAAATTTACGACAGCAATGGTCTGTCTCAAATAGTATTTATAACGGCAAGATGTCGTAAATAAGTTGTCACAAAAAATCTGACACTTTTGTCAAATATAAATTAATAAAAATAAATTAAATATAAATAAAATATTTTTTGATAATAACTCGTTAACACCTAAAATCTCATCCGCGGCACCGAACACACAAGGGTGTGACTTTTCTGCAAGCATGTCGGCCCTGGAACTACGTAGGTGCTGACCCACGCAGTGACCACTAGTTCTAGTCAGAGCGTAGAACTCCCAGCCACCCCAACCCCACTAAGATGATAAGAACACGCAAAAAACAATGGGATGTTGGTTGTTTTATGATAGCTAGACCTTTTTATGATTCATGTGAGCGTGTAACTGAACTTTGCATTGTCAAAACCAACAAGGATAAAGCCGTGTTAGACCATCGTTATTGTAGCACCAATAAGAATTAAGGTTGTTAAATAAATCAAGGGACAGTGCTGTAATGATTTAATTTTGAGATTTAATTTATTATAAATATTAAATTAATTATAAATTTTAATATTAGATGTTGTTTACTTTTAATTTAATCGATGTAATTGATTAAATTCTCATATTAAGTCCTCAAATTAGTGTAAATACAAATAACATTTTCTTTAAATTCATTTATATTAAAATAATTAAATCTAATGTTTTTTTTTAAAAAAAAATAGTATCTAAACTAGGTTTAGGCAATGTGTCGTTCAGCTGAATGGACTCAATAGCAATTCATTTGAAAAAAAAAAACATAATAAGGTTGTGAGTTAACGTCTCCTGGACTACGGGTCCGTTAGAAACAAATAATTGGTTACAATGCATTGAGAAGATATTCAGGGTGATGGGAGTTGGCGAGGAGTATAAATTGTTGTTAGCCACTTTTATGTTATCAGAGGAGGCCCATTATTGGTGGGAGGCTATGGAGAGAGCATTGCTGCCAGTGTGCACTGAAGGGAAGGCCGGGTTTAGTTCCTAGAGTTCCCACATGGTGGCAGTTTACAGATGCTTTTGATAAGAAATATTTTTTCTCGAGTTATCGATACCAGAAATAGAATGAATTCCTACATCTGTAGAAGAGGAATCAGTCAATGATTGAATACAAGGGCAAATTTAATACTTTATCTAGATTTATGCCTTCTGTTGTCGCAGATGAGGGAAAAAGATGCAGAGGATTTCAGATGGGGCTAAATTACCATATTAGATCCCGTATTTTGATGCTGGAGTTAACAACATTTTCAGAATTATACAACAAAGCACTGATTGTGGAAGCTGATCTGAAGGAGATGGAAGTGCAAGTGAGCAAGCAAAAAAGGGAAGATATGAGCCAAGTGGACAGGGTTCCAAGGTAAGTTTCTTTAGTAGATCTTGGAAGGGAATGTTTCCAAAGGGTGCAAGTAAGAAGAAATCAGGAGTCCCATTCCAGAGTCGAGGATAGAGAGTGAGTGGATCATCTTCTTTTACATCGGGTCGAGAGATGGTACAGACTCAGAGGAGTACAATTACTTGTTATTGTTGCGGGCAGGTTGGGCACAGTGTGCGGAAACTGTCCTATGGGAGGATCAAGACCTGCTATATCATGACGTTGTTTTTTATGTGGCCAGAAGGGACATATGCAAAGGGATTGTCCACAGTACGTTACTCAGTGTTCATCGGTGGACAGTGCATTTACAGTGTCCTGAGGAGCAGCTAGTGGCAGAGGTCGAGGATGAGGAGACAGTACTTGAGATAGTGGTGTTGGTGGCAGGGGACCGAGCAGGTTTGAGGCTGGAGGTCCTGTTTTTGTACTTACCCAACAGGATGCTTAGGCGACCCCGGATGTGGTTACAAGTATGATATCTATTTTTGGTTAACAGGCGCGAGTACTTATAGATTCAGGTGCCACACATTCATTTATATCACTGTCATTCTCCATGCATGCTAATAACCACCTACTCCGTTAGATTGTGAATTGAATATAACTACTCCCACGGGTGATTGTGTGATGGCTAGAGTAGTATATAGGGAGTGTCAAATTCAGGTGGATAATAGAGATTTACCTGCAGATCTGATACTTTTTTGAATTCCAAGATTTTGATTTGATTTTAGGAATAGATTGGTTTCTCTGCATATCATGCCACTACAGACTGTTTTCGTAAAGAAGTAATATTTAAAATCCCACATGTTCCTTTGTTTCGGTTCTTTGGAGAGTGACGCCCTGAGCCGAGAAATTTGATATCAGTCAATAAAGCTAGAAAATTACTAAAGAAAAGATGGTATGGTTACTTGGCTTATGTGAAAGATACTCATAGGGGTACTCCTGAATTGAAAAATATTCATGTGGTTAATGAATTCGCTAATGTGTTTCCCAAAGAGTTACCAGGGTTACCAGTTAATCAGGAGGTGGAATTTGCAATTGAGCTTGTGCCAGGAACTAGTCCCATATGGCTCTAGCTGACTACAACAAAAATTATTTTTTGCGATGATTTTTTTCGTCGCTAAATTAACAAAAATCATCGCCAATGATTTTTTGCGACGTTTTTTTTTTCGTCGCGTGTTCGTTGCAATAGCCTTGTCGCAGAAAGTATTTTACGACAAAAATGTTTTTTTCATTGCAAAAATAAAAATTTTGCAACGAAAATAAAAGCGTCGCGAAAAATAAAAAAAAACGTAGTTAAAATCCATTCCACCAGCGTAAGAAAGTAAAAAATAATAATTTAATTAACTTTTCGCAACGTAAAAAAATCGTCACAAATAATTTTTTACATAAATAAAAAATATAAAAAATAATAATTTAATTAACTTTTTGCGTCATAAAAAATATCGTCGCGAATAATTTTTTACATAAATAAAAAATGTTAAAAATAATAATTTAATTAACTTTACACGACGTAAAAAAATCATCGCGAATAATTTTTTTCATAAATAAAAAATGTAAAAATTAATAATTTAATTAACTTTTGGCGACGTAAAAAAATCGTAGCGAATAATTTTTTCATAAATAAAAAATGTTAAAAATAATAATTTAATTAGCTTTTTGCGACGTAAAAAAATTGTCGCAAAAAAGTTTGTTCTTGCAATTTTCCCAACGATTTTTATTTCGTCGCAAAAAAGTTCATTTTTTTTTATTTTACATCAAAAATGATATTGCAATAAAATTTTTCACATGTATACTAATAATACCTGTGTTCAATAAAAAACTAACACAATTAATACATTGCACATCTTTTTAAAAAAAAAATAAAATTTTATTTCCAAAAATAATGAATTACAAGAATTAAAGAACAAAAAATTCTAAAAATAAAAAAAATGGCTTTAGTCCACGACACAGCTCATCTGCAGAAGTAGCTAACAAACACAATTTGCAGCTCAACTCCTACACAATCTGACCCACGTCATTAGCTCAGCGACTCTGATCACTGCATCATCAGATAGCCTACAAAGGACCTGAAGCAGGAGGAACAAATCCACTTGTAGCATAGCTCCTATTCTGGCTATTCATTGCAGCTTTCAGCTCAGCAACACAGCAGCAAAAACCAGCTGTTCAGCAACCAAAACAACCCCTAACTTGGAACCCAGGAATTGCAGCAACATAGTTCAACTCACAAATCAACACTTATGTTAGAAGAAGCGTGTCTTATAGAGAGGAAAAGAAATCACTGCACAATGGTGACCAACACTAAACAGGGGCATTCGACTTCTTTGTTCAAATGGTGACCAACACTAAATTTCAGAATTGCCTTTTTACACGATCTTTTATTTATGGTTGTAAATGACTAATTCTCCCACTCCTCTTATCACTAGGTTGTTAGCTGACTGACCATTCATCTGCATGGTGCAATCATATGGCTAAACTCATTTAACTACCATTCAGTAGAAGGGGCCAGGATAACAAGAGTTGAGGAGGCAAGGGTTTTCTTATTTGTTATGCATCAACAAATATACAATGAACTACCTCGATGGATATCATATTCGTAGCATTTGCGCCAGGTCTCATGTTTCTGAAAGCCTCCACAAGGTTTACATTTGACCTATTGGCGTAGTTTACATACTCCTCTACCGGTAGAGAAGTACCCTTGCAAAACAATTTTAGCAGGTAAATCCAATTGCAAATACCAATACAACTCTTGCTATGCGTACAACTCCTAATTCATAAATTAAGGCGACTATCATTGAATATGATACACCAATGGCTAACCATGCTTCAAAAACTCGCCAAAAGTAGACACATATTGGAGGCATTGCCTATCAGCATTAAAAAGTAACACAAAATGAAGTTTGGATATGTTTTTTCATTTTCTTTTTTTATTGTTTTCTTTTGTGTTTTGTGTTTTTTTTGGGTGGGGTAACACTAAGTTGATGAACTAAATTGGATATATCACACATCTACATGACTAGGCAGGTTAATCAAACAATAACAATATCACCAAAAAAGAAAAGAAAAGGAAAGGTAGTAGTAGGTTGCTAAATGGAACCTTGTCTATGCAACTTTTGATTCGACTGCAAGTGCGACTTGCTAGTCCTCAAACAAATTAGGATACTCTTCTGGATCAGCCAAAGATTCTGAAGCTTTCTGATTGACCTGCAGATGATATTTAACCATGATAAATGCTTTTCATTGCATATTAATATTATAATCATATGATGATGAATATTTTTATTTATTTATTTTGGGTTAGGGGGCGGGGGGATGCTCCTTAATGAAAGTGTCATTTGGAATGCAGTACAAAGCATGCCCAAACTGGTGGAGGAGGGGTTGTTAAGACCTAAATATCACGTGTGGCCATTCTAGCTTTTGCCTACAAAATTGTTCATCCAATCCTTCAAGAAGAATTTAACAAGAACAAATTGAAAACATTAAGATATAGATGACACATAAAAACTTAAGATAACAAAGATATTTCAAACAGGAAGCACACAATAGTAAAAGTGTTTCCATGGTGGAAGAGTTTTTTAAGCTAAGGCAATAGATGACCCATCTAAGGCAATGACAAAATGTTTTTCCTACACATAAATCTACTTATAATTATCATGCCTTTTAAACAAACACTAAAGTGCTTTTGCTCATTGTTGAAGGTAGTCAAATGTGAAAGATACCTATTATGCTGTTCCTTAGGAATTGAGGATAAAACCTCATTTGCCTGTTCTAGGTCACCACACATCACAAGTGTCTTATACTCGATCAAGCTAAGAAGTAATGTATATCCCATAACACTGCAATAAAATGAAAAAAAAAATAAAAATACAAGTGTGGTGATCTTAGCTGTTGCTGCTTTTGAATAGATGACAAAAGTCTCTCACTTGAACTCTTTGTCAATGAGATACACCCTACTTGGATTGGCTAGATATCCCAGCAGGTACATAGGCCGGTCCAAATAAAACATTGTGGTTACCTAATGCATGAAATTTGTGGCCTCCTTGAATTTATTAAAATTGTAAAAAAATTTCGAATACATAAAGCATATAGGAACAACAATGAACCATATACTATACCTCACCACCAACACAGTAATTAAGTCTCTAGGAAGAGTTGATGTAAATCAAACAATCACCAACGCATATCCCAGTCTTGACTCTTTCATTTAATTCATAAAGAAGCTCAAAGACATCTTCAACACCTTGTTCGTCAACTGATCTTCCACTATCTAGATGCGCAGAAACTACTTCGCACTGTAAGATTTAAAACCCAAATTTGTAGTCAATCACATTTTTAGAACAGAAATGGCATAAGAACAAAAATTTTTAAGTCTATTACAAAATGTACAAAATTACTAGATAACTACTATCCCTCGGACTTAGTTCTTCTCAAAGATACAAGCATATTGCCAATGTCAAGCAAATGCAAAACATAGTTGTGGATTGAAAGCCATCTATTGCACAATGGCTCTTACAATCAACAGCCGGTTGAAGTTCCAACCAAAGTCAGCCACCTTACAAATTCACGCCTATCCACATTGTAGCATAAAATCTTTTGGCACAATATGTTTATCACAAAACTCAAACGTTGATGGCTTATCATAAAATCTTTCACCTTGGCTTGATGTGAGAATCTAGACTAATAGACAGAATTTCTAGCTATCTCGCAAAGATCATAGGAACTGAGCTTCCATAACTGGAACACAAAGGTTCTATAAGCAACATAACCATGACCATGAGCGTAAACATTGGCAGAGATGGAATGGTCAAACCTTTGCTGCAACCCTGTATTCTTCCACAAGAGGCTTCTTTGTTAAATGAATTTGCAGAGGGTCATCTGTAGAAAGCAATACATTTAAGCCACGCTGGAAGAACATTGGGAATGGGTTGCAAAAAGAGTCAAGTTTTCACTCATGTGAATTACAATATGAAATATTCCAGACACCATAGAATCTCACCCTTAGGATTTCACTACCAGGCATACCATGCTACTGTTGAGGAAACACTATTTTTTTTAAAGCACCAGGAATGCAATATATAAATGGTCCCAAAGAGAACTCCTAGTTATTTAACAGACCTAAATAAAGGGAAAATGTCCAAGGAGAACTCCAGACACCATGCCTTTAAAATTACCCAAGGCAGTGACACAAAGTAAAGCTGAATATCTGATCAACATCACTTCAGATAAATATTTTTTGACAGGACACTTCAATAAATTGACCATGCTAAGGTTGTCATTAATTGGAATTCCTAGACATTTCAGGTCTGCAATAATGAATACCACCATGGCATGAAACATATAATTTTTAGGCACTAATTAAACAGTCAATTGTTAGGATACACTTAACAGTGTGCATCAGCATATGCTAACATTTTTCATAACAATGACAAAATGAGATTTCGGTATTCTACAAACCTTATTGAGAGTATACAAGTTTGCATAGCAGTAATAAGCGTAGTAAGAGTATGTAGGATTGAACTCATTTGTCCATTCAGCTGGCTTGGGCATATGCTTGGTAGGACGCCTTTCTGGTTTACTTTCATCATCTACGAGGTCGAAACCCCCAACCTGTATTGAAAAATGCTGAATCACATTGGGCACTAGACGTAGACTGCAAACCCAAGGGCGACATTTTTTGTTGTGTATGTAATTGATGGCTTATATAATGTGTATGTATATCTCTCATCATAAATTGTCTCAATAGAGTAACGAAATGTCCCAAAACGTTTCCAAATTACAGTCATCCGCAAGAATTGAATCCAAATCGACATAAAACCTCAAAAGGTGCCCTTTAATCAACATCTGTGCAATGCCAAATCATTTGCAAAGCTCTCATAAATCTCAATCAGAGCTAGCTTACACAAAAATATAAATAAATACCACCTTAATACTCCAAAATGTATGTAGAGAGAGAGGGACTTGGATTTTGTCGGATAGGTCTCTGATGAGAGATATCATTGCATTGAGGTGTTAGGTTGGTGCAGAGTGAAAGTTAGGGTTTTGAGTTAAGAGAGAGAGAGGGAAACCTTTGGATCTCTGTTACTGATGAGATAAAGACGGTGTTGGAGCTCGAGGCTGAGGCCTCAAATCTTTGATTGGAGGTTGGCAATTTAGCTCACGTCCTTGACTATTTCACCGATTTCTGGATAGATTTCATAGAAATTCTTTACGTCTTCTTCTTGCAACAACGATCCGTAACCTTACATTTGAGATCTTGTTCGTAAGCTCAAACGAAAGCTCTAGATCACCAATTCTTGGAGTATTCAGGGCCCTGTCGACCTCAAGGCAGCGATAAAAAACTCAATCTTCTCGATCGAACTCAAGGCAGTAGAGCAGGAGAGAGAGCGAGCGAGCAAGAGAGAGATGACGAGGAGTGTCGTGAGAGAAGGAAGCGGTGAGGAAGTACTTAGACAAAAAAACAAAAAGAATTTAGGGCAAAAGAATTTTTGAAAAATTATATTCTGCGACGAAAATAAAAAACGTCACAAAAAATATTATGAGATTAGAATATTCGCGACAAACTTAAAACGTCGCGAAAAATTAATTTAATTAATATTTTTAAAATTTTTTATGTATGTAAAAATTTATTGGCAATATTTTTTAAGAATGTCGCGAAAAATAATTTAATTATTTTTTAAAAATTTTTAATTTACGTAAAAAATTATTTGCAATGTTTTTAGAAAAACGTTGCGAAAAATTAATTTAATTATTATTTTTAAAATTATTTATTTACCTAAAAATTTATTGGCAACGTCGCAAAAAATTAATTAAATTATTATTTTTAATTTAATTTGCTAATTACCACTATTTCTCCCGCCAAAAAACAATTATGAGGCCTTTTCACGACGTTTTTAAAAGAACGTCGCAAAAAATTGCCAAAATAGAAATTTAGAATTTATTTTACTTTAAATTTTAGATTATTTATTTTTTGCGACGAGATAAAACTATTTACCCCAAAAAATTTTGTCGTAAAAAGTTGCCACTTCCCGCCATTTCTCTTGCCCAAAACAATTAGGAGGGAATCGCGTTTTCGTGACGTTTTTCAAAAACGTCTCAAAAAAATTGCCAAAATAGAAATTTGCGACAAAATTATAAAATCGTTGTGAATAGTAAAATTTTTGTAACAAATTTTAAATTGTCGCAAAAAAAAAAACGTCACAAAAAATGGTTTTTGTTGTAGTGTGAATTGAAGGAACTTAAAGTACAGTTGCAGGATTTGCTAGATCGGAGATTTATACGGCCTAGTGTATCTCCGTGGGGTGCACCAGTATTATTTGTAAAGAAAAAGGATGGCACTATAAGGTTATGCATTAATTACAGGCAGTTGAATAGAGTGACTATCCTAAACAAGTATCCATTGCCGCGTATAGATAATTTGCCGGACCAGCTATAGGGTGCTTGGGTGTTTTCAAAGATTGATCTTCGGTCAGGATATCATCAATTGAAAGTACAGGATAGTGATATATCGAAGACTGCTTTTCAGACCAGGTATGAACATTATGAATTTCTGGTAATGTCATTTGGTGTGACTAATGCTCCTGCTGTATTTTATGGACCTGATGAACCGAATATTTCAACTATATCTTGATTCATTTGTGATAGTATTCATTGTTGACATATTGATATACTCCCGTAGTGAAGAGGAACATATGCAACATTTGAGGGTGGTATTGCAAACATTGATAGATAAGTAATTATTTGTTAAATTCAATAAATGTGATTTTTGGTTGGACAGGGTTGTGTTCTTAGGGCATGTAGTTTCTAGTGATGGTGTATGTGTTGAGCCAGCTAAGATTGCTACTGTAGTTAACTGGGAGAGACCGAAGACATTGACAGAGATTCGGAGTTTTCTGAGTTTGACAGGTTACTATCGGAGGTTTGTACAAAATTTCTCCATGATAGCTATGCCCTTGACCCGATTGACTTGAAAGGGTGTGAAGTTTAAGTGGTCTGATAGATGTGAGCGGAGTTTTCAGGAGCTGAAGACCTGGTTGACAACTGCACCAGTATTAACCATTTCATCAAGTAGTGATGAGTTCGTGATTTATAGTGATGCCTCACATCAAAGTTTGAGTTGTGTGTTGATGCAGCACGATTGGGTGGTAGCTTATGTCTCTATACAGTTGAAACCACATGAGTGTAATTATCCTAACCATGATTTGGAGCTTGCATCTGTTGTATTTGGACCGAGGTTATGGAAACATTTTCTATATGGAGATACCTGTGAGATTTATACAGATCACTAGAGTTTGAAATATCTGTTCACCCAGAAAGAGTTGAACCTGAGGCAGTGGGGTTGGATTGAGCTTATTAAAGATTATGACTACACTATTCATTATCAGCCAGGAAAAACAAATGTTGTGGCGATACTTTGAGTCGAAAATCGTCTGACAAATTGGCTAGTTTACGAGTGATTCGGAGGTGTTTATTTGTGAATTTGAAATTTTTGATAGTGCAGTTGGGGATAGAAGAGACTATAGCTTTACTTGCTACACTGACTTTGAGACTAGTGCTGGTAGATAGGATCAGATAGGCACAACAATATGACCTCCATATTGAGAAATTGAAGAAAGAGGTGAAGACTGATTTTATTGTTGATAGTATTGATGTGTTGTTATTTGGTTCTCGGTTATGTGTACCTAACGATGCAGGGTTAAAAAGAGAGATTTTGGAGGAAGCATATAGTTCAGCATATGTTATGCATCCAGGTAGTACAAAAATGTATCGTGACTTGAGAGAGCATGATTAATGGTTTGGGATGAAACGAGAGATAACTGAGTTTGTAGCTCGATGTTTAGAATATCAACAGGTAAAGGCTGAACATCAGAGACCAACTGGGTTATTACATCCTCTACCAATTCTAGAATGGAAGTAAGAGCATATTACTATGAATTTTGTAAGTAATTTGTCTCATACGCAAAAAGGACATGAGGCCATTTGGGTGATAGTTGATAGATTGAAGAAGTTTGCTCATTTTCTAGCTGTTAAGATGTCATATTCTCTTAACAGGCTAGCTAGATTATATATTGATGAAATTGTGAGATTGCATGGTGTACCTGTATCTATTGTCTCTGACAAGGACCTACGCTTTACTTCGAGGTTTTGGCCTAGTTTACAAACTGTGTTGGGCACTACTTGGAAGTTTAGTACAACATTTCACCACAAACAGAACGTACTATTCAGACATTGGAGGATATATTGAGAGCTTGTGTCATGGACCTTAGAGGTAACTGGGATGAATATTTGTTTTTAGTTGAATTTGCTTATAATAATAGTTACCAGAGTTCAATTGAGATGACACCATATGAAACTTTGTATGGGAGAAAGTATAGGACCCCAGTGTGTTGGAGTGAAGTGGATGAGAGGAAGTTATTGAGTCCAAAAATTATGCAAATGACTACTGATCAGATTAAAATCATACAGGAGAGCTTATGAAGAGCAGAGAGCAGACAGAAAAGTTATGCAGATAATTGGCGTCGTGATTTGGAATTTGAGGTGGGTGATCGAGTATTCCTACTGGTATCACCTTGGAAAGGGGTCATTCATTTTGGTAGGAATGGGAAGTTGGCTCCTAGGTATATTGGTCCGTACAACATCGTAGAGCGGATTGGAGCTGTTGCATACTGGTTAAAATTACCAATGAAGTTGTCCAGGTTACATGATGTATTTCATGTTTCTATGCCACGAAATACTTGCCTGACCCATCACATATGTTGACTTCAGAACCGATAGAATTAGTCTATGATTTGACTTATGTAGAGCAGCCGGTTCAAATTTTGGATAGGAAGGAGAAAATACTACGCACGAAGACGATACCGTTAGTAAAGGTTTTGTGGCGAAGTCACTCAGTAGAGAAAGCAACCTGGGAGACTAAGGAAAGTATGCGGGCACAATATCCTCATTTGTTTAGTCCAAGTATGTAATTTCGAGGACGAAATTTTTATTAGTAAGAGAGAGTTGTGAGACCCGATCATGCATTTCATACATATTAGTATAATTATGTGGACTAATTGCAATTATTAGATAGAATTTTGTGTATGGAAATAAAATTGGGTTAGTTTTGGAATCACTTAAGAATTTGGAGGGAGACAAATAAAATTATTAAGTTGCATGAAAATATCTTTACACATGTGTCAAATAAAAGGTGGTGAGTTATTTTTAAAAGTTATATATGTGGGTGTGTATATGCCAAGTGTTTGTGTGTGTCTTAAGGTGTAGTAAAGTATGAGTGTGTAATGCATGGAACAATGTGTGTGTGTTCAGGTTATATGAAATCGTGAGTGAGGGAGAGTAAAGAAGAGGAAGAAGAAAGAAAAAAAAAAGAGAAAAGAAAGAAAGAAGAATTTGGAAGACTCCATGCCAAACCAAGAGTAAGAAGGAAACAAAAAGAAGGAAAGGGTGTACGTGTGTGTTTATTTTAGTGTGTGTTTGTGTATGTGATTAATTGTAAGTATTAATTTTGAGAGGTAAATAGCATAACCATGATGAGAAGTTCACCTTTCATAACATTAATCTTTCTCAAAGTAACTATACAATCCATATGAAAAATCTACATGAATTCTATTATGTACACAAAACACAAATTAACTACTCTCTATCTATGTATTTATCTAATTTGGATAGGTAGAAAACGAATTCATGGGTATACAAGCAGAGTTCTCCCATGCCTTGGCATGTAATTTAAGGATCTCTCTAGCTCTTTCCCGGGTCTTGCTACCACAATCCCCTTGAAGCACCAGGCAAAGCTTTGCCACCACACCCAGAACTCAGCATCTCTTGAAGAACACTTGGAGTTGCAGAAAACTTCGAAACAAAAACTAGAATCCTTACAGCCCTTTCAGTTGCCATCTTTGAAACCCTAAGTATCTTCTTTGACACAATTGCTAACCCAGCTCCATGGTTCAACAACTCGGCTCTTCCCTCTGCACACTGGCACAGATGATCCAACACCACTAGTATCATTTCACAGTCCCTTTTCTCATGGGCTTCGAGTAAAAGATCAATCAATTCTGGCACTGCGCCGGCTTGGACTGTTTTGACTCTGTTTCTTCCCCATGGACAAACATTGATCAGTAGTTTCAGTGTATTTTTGGTGGCTTTGTGAGAGATCTGATCCTTCAAGACTTGGACTAATTGAACAAATAATTCTGGTTTCAAACTCATCAGCTGCATTGGATTCGCCACTTCGAAGACCGATTTCAATAACAAAACAGAATAAGTTCTCGATTCGAAGTTCCCACGTTGCATGATCTGTGTTAAGGAGTCAATGAATTCACCATTTTGGCCGGAGAGAGACTTCAGTCCAGCTTCTGATAATTCAAGATAATAGAGAATAATTAGGGCTTCATCACTGGCTTTTTTGAGATCAAACCCATCTTCTGATTCTTCTGATGCTGATGATTCGATGGTGTTGTTTATGGTTGAAGCTAAGAACTGTACGGCTCCCGTGGCTTCCATGCAACGTTTGTTTGCCTCACTTTCAGAAGCTAGTGATTTCAGTTTTTCGAGACATTTCATTTGTAGTTGTGGAGATTTGGCATCACGGAGAAGCTTCGCCATCTGGGCTTTATTGATCGGGGGCTTTGGTGTTGGGAATCTTTCAATGCCATAGGAAGCGTTTAGGGCGCACCATGACTGGATCAGTCGCCGGAGAGTGATGTTCGGCGTCAAATCGGAATCGGAGATGACTTGTTTAGTGACTGGGCACTCACTGTTTTTCTCAGAAAATATCCATTTCTCGATGCTTTCACGATCATATGTTATGCCCGTTGAGACTGTGACTGGGTCCTTCATGATGTCTAGAGAAATGGGGCAGAGGAAAAATGGAGGAACTTCAACTTCATCCATTAGAAGACTTCCCAAGAAGATCAAGATTCAGAAATCTAGCGCAAATATAGGAGACACTTTAAAGTCTTAAAAGAGAAGAAGATGTGGAGAAGTTGAACTATATCAAACACCCAGAAGGGTTAGTTGATCAGAATGGTAATATAAAGAGAAGCTTTAATTTCTTTGTTTAAATGTAGGAGGTGAAGCTGTTGGGGAGTTGTGAATTGGTTTGAAGATGTTAGGAGCAGGGTGGGTTTGGTTTTATAGGTGGAGAGAGAGGTTCAAAATTAATGCGAAAGCAAAACACGGAAAAAGAATGACAACTTTCACCGAGTCATGAGATAGGGTGTCTCTGTGTGGGAAAAGCGTAGAGATGGTAAAAGGTCTGTTGGCCTTTGCTATCATCACCTTCTGAGTTTCTCTCTCTAACTCGTGCTTGTTATGGGTAAACGCCTAGAGTTGGCGACAGCTACTCGTGGTGGGGCTATTGTCCATTACTGTTTCTTAATTGGCTGCCGCGACTTTTTCACTCTCGATCCTCCTTCTTGGCCTTGGCTGTTTCTTAGTTGATTGTTTATCGTAATAGTGATTATCAAAATAAATGTAAAAAACGATTAAATACTAAGTCATATGATGAAGTAAAACTTTAGATAAGAGTTATGCTGAAATATTAAGAGATCTGATTAGAATTAATAGCCACCCAATTTTTTCAATGTCATGGCCAGTGGCGGAGCCACCACTGGCTGTGGTGGTGGTGGTGGTGTGGGAGTAAGAGGGGGTACAAGTCCACCCTCACAGAAATTTTGCTTGACATTATTAATGTACAATTTAAATATTTTTTATACAAATTTGATAAGGACCACCCAATTAATTTCTTGTGATGTCGATTAGAATAGACTCATAAATAACATGTTTCGGACACATTCGAATTAGTGTTCTTATTGAAAATAAAATTTAGACTAAAAAACATAAGGTGTATGTATTAGTTTACATACTAGTGGCTTTGATACTGATTTTATGGATTATAATTTCATTATAAAAAAATTATTTTTAATAGTAGAGAATATAAAAACTCGATTATATAATCAAATTGGTAATAAGAGGATGCCAGATAATGTGATATTATATATACCGAAAGATATTCTTGATAGTATTTATAAAGAAATTATAATGCAATATTTCCAAATAACAAAAATTTATTGGAGTCAATTGAAAATGACTATAATTAACCTCGTTTTTTTACAAAATATTAAAATTAATCTTTTTCATTTTTGATTTGTTTGTTTGTATGCTGCATATGTACTAATTTTGCCCCTCTTATGTTTAGTGATTTTATTGTGTCCATTTTTTAAATTTATATAAACATATCATTCTATTTGGCAAAAAAAGAAACTAAACCTTGTTAAAGTGTCCACCCAAAGACTATTTTTCTTACTCCGTGTATATATAAAGAATAACACAATCATACAAGCTTCACACCATAGCCTTAGCTAAGTATTTTTGATGTGGACCATTAGATCATGATTCAACGTTCACATCAAAAGGGAAACTATAATGCATATTAATTATGGTCTTAATGTCATTAAGACAAAAACAAAGAAAAGGAAATGCAATTATCCTTACTTAATATTATTTCTTCACCAAGTTTCATCTCAGATTCTTCGTCTCACGACATCACACGCAGAACATAAAATAAAAAAAATAAAAAGAGAAAAATTGCTTTTAACTAAGAAATAATGAAAAAAGGTAAAAAAGTAGAACTTTTTATAATAATGAAATTCTTAAAGATTTTTGTGATTCTTTAACAGAGACAAGTATCACAACATTACTGTTCGATGTGCATGCACCATGGTCCTTGCAGAGAATTTTCAAGAAGTTGTTGTTGAATTTGACTCTAAGATGCTGATAGAAGCTATCCAACGTGGGCCAACTTCGTTGTTAAGAGAGGTTGAGCCTATTCAAAGAGATATTTGGTTTTACTCCAGTAAAATTCCATCAATCAAGTTTCAATTTGTGAACCGACAAGCTAATCAGTTAATTCATCTGGCTGCAACTCAGGCTCGAAAGAACAACTTATCCCCTCACTGGGTGGTTTATCTTTTGGAGCAGCTGAGGAGACTCGTACAAAAGGAAGCAAGAGAGGGTATTGGTCGAATAATTGTTTTGTCCTTGTTTTTTGGCTGTTTGTGGGTGTGTTTTTTTTGGTTGTTTGATGTATCTTTTGTTTCTTGAGAGACAAAAAAAAAAAAAGAAGATAAGTATCACAAATTGATCATATAGCATGAAAACCAAATTGCATAATACTCCTATTCAAGTGATTGTGATCAAATCACCTAACCAAAGTTGATCACAAAAATATAGGGCGATTTGATCACAAAAAATATAATATAAGTTGAACACAGAAATATATGATCGATTTGTCATCAAATAAACTTTTTATTCCTCTTCTATTTATTTTTTTTCCTTCTTTGTCAACGTGAAAATCTTGACACACCAATGAATATTTTATTTTCATTCTTTGTAAAAGATTTCACCTTACAAGACTAATTTACTTTCCTTATATGATAAAAACAATGATTAATATAATCTTATAGTTTCCTTATTACTCCAAAATGAAGTTTGGTAAGTTTTAATATTTAATATTTAGCATCTTTAATTAGTGAACCTTGGACTATGATCCAATGGTCCGCATCAAAAGTACCTACCTAAGGTTGTGGAGTAAAACTTCCATGATCACCAGCAAAAAAAAATGATTTAACATTCTAAATAGTGATCATAACAAAGTGGGTGCGGCTCAATTGATATTACTATTCCCTTTATTATCCATTTTTAATTTCATAACAGATAAAATTCACCATGTCTAGAGTTTTTTTAGAAGTTAATGACTGGTCTAACAGCCACCGTGCGCCTTCTTATAATAATATTAGTTATTTCTCATTTATAAAAAGGATAGACAAAACAAAATAAAATTATGATTACATTAACGCATCAAGTGCATGGGGGTGGATTGGTGGAATTTTCTCTTTAAGGAGAAAAAAAGAAAAGTAGAGGGCAGAGTATATGATGAATGTGCCACTTTTTTTCTTTTTCTTTTCCTCTTTGTTTTCTTACTTTGCGAGTATTTATTAGTTGCAACTATTTATTACTGTGCGACTTGTTTACACTGCAACCATGTCTGGTGAGAACAATTTATTCAACAATTTGTCGGTTTTAAAAAAGTCAATCCTATTGCTTAACCTATAACAATGATTTTTTGGCATGCCCCTTAATGATAGAGTAGCTTGTTTGACCCGATAGGTCAGGTAGAATGACCTCGTCGATTATTATCTTAAAATTGTAAGGTTGAGTGTTATAAAAAACATTATTGTTAACACAATACACATAAATTATTTGATTGAATGTATCCCGAATTCACTTAGGAACCAATGTAACCAAGGTTGTATGGTTTGATCAGTTCTCAATTAGTAAAGAAGTGTGACAGGATTAGAATAGGTCTTTAGCTTTTAAGTTGGTGTAGAACAAATATATAACTAAATAAATAACCTTTTAGCTCCCACTAAATAGAAAGAAATAGAAATAAAATACATGGAAAGAAGCAAAAGATATAAATTTTTGTCTGAACTACATTCGTTTGTTAATTCTGATATCTAGTATGAATGTCTAATCAGCATATGTGAGGAAGACTGGCAATCAAATATCATATACATGTTTACAAGGAATTCAAAGTTATGGATTATTTCGTTGTATCGATGGACGATAGACCCGATTTTGTAATGTCTCTCTTTCTAAACTACAAAAATCTCATTGCTTCTTGTTTGGAAAGAATAAAAAAGAGTATGGAGTTAATTAAGCACAAGAAAATATTATGAATTTGAAAATTTAATGATTAAATTCAATCCTTCATCAAATTACATGTTCTGCACCTTTTTTTTTTGATAACCTAGAAACTCCCAGCAATCATGCATATTTGGACCTGTAGCCGAGTAGTCAACCTAGGCCCACACGCAAAGACTCGTCTCCATGCGTAGAGGAAAAATCTAAGAGAGATGGTCCTAATGAACATTTTCATCTTGTGCAATATCGAACATTTGACTAATGTCAACTTTAGTCATCAATCAAGTGGCCAGCTATTACTTGAGCTAACCCCTTGGGTTACTTGTTTTGTACTTTGGGTAAGGTGAAACTGTGACAAGTTAACACAAACCCAACTCAAAGACATTAAGTATTTTGGAACAAAATTTCTAGCACTCAACTTGATTTTGAGCAAAACATTTCAACTCAGATTTTAGTTTGGGTAGAACTCAAGTTAGAGTTGTGGGTTTTGCAAACTTAAAGTGAATTCAACTTCAATCAAACACGAATTTCAAATTGCATTCTTCAGTCTTAGAGACTCTAAAAAATCTAAGCATGTGTAATACTCAAGTTAAAGAATTATAATTAAAGATCGGATTGAGTGGAACTTAAATTAAAAATTATAAATCAAGTTTAATGTAAGTTGTCTTTTCAACCAACCTAATCCGTCCGAATTACGCCTCCAGTCTCAAATTAAAAATTATAAATCAAGTTTAATGTAAGTTGTCTTTGCAACCAACCTAATCTGTCCGAATTACGCCTCCAGTTTTCCTAACATTAAGGGACGATCACTTCTTTAAGGAATTTATTCAAACACGTGTTTAAGTATCCAAAGAATACAATTTGCACAAGATGAAAGTCTTCAAAGTTCAGAATTAGATGCCATTAATTCCACCAAGAGTTTGTGGCCATCAATTTGCACCTCTTTCATTCTCTCTTATGCTAGGGGGCCCTCAAATTTTGGAATTATATATATATATATATATATATATATATATATATATATATATATATATATATATATATTATTGTGTTAAATATTTTTTAAAATAATTTTATTACGTCCACCCAAATAATTTCGTATAAGCTAAGACAAAAAAACTGAGACGCTTCAGATATATTGGGATATGGTTTAGACATACTGAAACTCATTTTGTAATTTTTTTTAAGATAAAATTACGAGCTTCTTTAAATGTCAAATCAAAAGTGAGATTATTATGTGATAAAATATAAGATTGTTTTATAATTTTTAGCATCTTTTATATGACTTTTTTTGTTAACTTTTAAGATTAATATATTGAATAAAAGTAGAATTAATATATGACATTTTTGCTAATTTTTAGCGTTCTTTACTCATAATTCTTGCCT